GCAAAAGATAAGAGAGGGGAACACTTGCTCGGGTGTAAAGCTGTGAGTAATGAACTCTGATTTAACCACAAGTTCTCAGGGAACCACTCTGGGGAGGTGAGAGGGGCAGTGGAGGGGGTGGACTTGTGAGAGCTGATGAGGTGAGGGGCAGGGAGAAGGGGGTCTTGTGAGAGCTGAGCCCACATCTCTGGCTGCAATACGTGGTGGCTGGACTGGAAGACCAACGTGCTGATGTAGAAGGGCTGGAAGGAAGAGCTGGGCCCACAGGTCGCGACCGCAGAAGGGGAGTCAGGGGAGCACAAGGCCGCGCAGGGGCGCTGGCACTTTGGGAGAGCCTCTGAGGGACGCCTGAGTCCGTAAATTATGTGCATGCTTTACTTGTACAAAATAATGTGCCAAATAATACATTCACAGACCTGTGTACTCGAAAACAACTTTCTTACGGAGAAGGGGAGCTGTCACATTAACCGGCGAGCAAGAGGGTATTTGGCAGAACGTTGCCTGAGTGGCTGAGAGTAGCTGGATTTGGGCTTTGGACTCTGCTGCGGTCAGGTCCAGCCAAGCAAGTCCTGCAGCAAAATGATTGTGCCGGGCATCCTGTTCGTCCTCCCAGCCCCTTCTCCACTCGCCCTGGGCCTCATCGCCAGGACCTCACTGGGTCCACCCAGCGGGAAGCACCTGCGGGAGGCCAGAGACCAGCAGGGCCAGAGCCCTGCACACTGCGCCCTCCGCATGTGACCCTGGGACCCCTGCACCCACACCTGCCTGAGTGCGTCCCTCCCGGGGCTGGCCGGCTACCTGCTGTTTCCTGCCAGAGCCTTGGGCTGCATGCGCTTTATTTCAAGAAGCCCTCTAGAGCGAGCTCTGGAATCCCCCAAGATCTGGGTGTGCCTGCCTCTCCGGCAGCCTTGCAGGCGGGGGGGAGGAGGGCGTGGTTGCGTTCTCTCGGAACAAACCTCACGGTCATAATGCTGGAGTAACAAACCGAAAGGAAAAACTGTTAAACAGGAAGCAACAGGTTTGGCCCGCGCTGGAGAGGTAACCTCTATGCCTGTGCTGGGTATGACGCTGCAGAGACTCTGGGGCCGAATGTGGGCTCAGCGCTGCGCCCAGTTCCTCGCTCCGGCCCAGCGGGAAGCGGCGGCCGCCCCGACTCTCTACAAGCGGCTGCTCTGTTCCCTCGCCGCCACACGGTGGCACCAGGGAGCCAGCTTCTCCGCTGGAAGCGGGGCTGAGCATGCGCGGCGCGGGCCGAGGTTCTGGGTGAGGCGCGCCGTCGGAGGGCTCCCGACCACAGCTTCTCCGCCCCAGCGCCGCTTCACTCGTTTCCTACCTGTAAAATCCACTTAATTGGCGAAAATCTCCATGACTCGAGGGTCCCACACTTGAGTGCCTTCAGCGCCAGGCGCTAACGCAGTCAGGAAAGCACAAGCCCATCTGTGTATATCAGGGTAAATGCACAACATAAAGTAACCATTTAGAAGCATACAGTTGAGTGGCATTCACAATGTCATGCAACCAGCACCTCCAGCTAGTTCCACAACGTTTTCATCGTCCCGAAGAGAGACCCTATGCCCATCAGACACTAACTCCCTGTTCCCCACTCTGCCCGGCGCCTGGTAATCTCTACTGCACTTTCTGTTTCTATGAATTTGTACTCCACACGTTTCATGTAAGAGGAATTGCACGATATTTGTCCTTTTGTGAATGGCTTCTTTCACTTAGCCTGACATATTTGAAGTCCATGTTGCAGAATGTGTCAGAACTTCCTTCCTCTTAAGGCTGAATAAAAATCCATTGTCTAGTCAGACCTCTCCTGATGAACACTCTTCTTTAGTGCTTGACGGTCAGGCTGGAAAGGAGGCAGATGCATGAAAAGCAAAGCTAACTGAGTCCCCTTCCTGCCCTCATGGGTCTGCCAGTCCTTGGAGCAACGGTCAAGTCCTGTAAGCAACTGAGACATGTGCCAACACAAAGCAAGAATCCTCAGGAAGTCCTCATGTCTGTTCCCTGCAGCCACCTGCCTGAGGAACTGTCCCTTCCTGTTAGAAGTACAGAAATCAAGGCTCAGAAATGGCCATCTGTCCAGGGCAGAGATCACATGATTGCCTCTCTCGCCCATGGCCAGTCTCACCATGTGACAGCCCCCTCCTCTCAGGACTCAGGGGACCCCCGTCTCTGCGCAAGCTCTCAATGTCCTTGGCCACAGCCCATGCTCAGGACACAGACCCACGCTTTCCTGCTGCTCATTTTAAGCCATTGTTGCCAAGATGGGAGGACCCCCGGGCCCAGAGAAGAATCGGGAAAATCTACATTGAGAGTGAAGGATTTGGGCCATCTGCTTGGCACTCTGGGTCCTGCACAGCCCCTTCACTAGAATCAGAACCCAGGTCCTGCTCCCTGGGCCCTGACCTAACAGCTCTGCCTGTGTTTGCAAGCATGAGTAAAGCCCTAGACATCAGGGCAGAAAGAGAGCTTGATTCTGACATCACTCCCTCCTTTCCTCTCCTGCTGGTCTCACTTGCAGGCAGCGGTCCTGGCTGGGGGGCTCTCTGCCCGGTTGGCCAGCTGTGGCCCAGCAGCCCCTAGCCTCATGGAGCCCTCATGGGCGCCAGGACTGTTCTGAGCATTCAGCAGGCAGCACTCGCAGGGTCCCCTTCAGATGGGACACGGAGGCCTAAGGCCGCACAGATGACAGTGGCCTGGACCGAGAGACAGAACATTGGCCATCAGAGCTCATGTCCTAAACCCTCACACTCCCCTGGGCTCGAACCCTCGTCTCCATGCTTACTGGGCTGTCCTGGGGCTCAGGTCAAAGTCAGCCAGGAAAGGAGCTTTTCTGCAACCAACCTGAGGTTCCAGCTCTTTCTGGGCTCTCTCTCCTGTTTCCAGACTGCATGGGAGGAGCCCTGCTACTGAATGTGCCTGAGGACGCTCGGCCCGGGGTGCTGGGGACACCTGCGCCCACCAGCTGCATATCCACAGCCTCTCCCTCAGCCAGAGGGGCTTCAGATCCTGTGCCACATGGCTCAGCAGCTATGGTGTCACTGACTGTGACCTCAGGGACTTCTGATGTCACAATGAGCCTGTGGGCCTGGCCCACAGGAGCCCTGGCTGGCGGCAGGCCAGCTTCCACCCTTCCGCCATCACAGAGGGCAGCTCGTGAGTAGCCCAAAGCCTGGATGGAGCTTCTTCCCAGCTGGAGGCTCTGGGTGCCTGGGCGTGTGCCTCTCTATGTCCTTGAGCCTCCCAGGAGGGCGCCGCAGCCAGGGCCCTGCCTCCACGAGTCCTCACCCTGCTGGGAGCAATCTTGGGGGGCAGGGGGCACATCAGATCTCACACTTGGTGTCTTACAGGCACCAGGGCACTCTGACCCAGACCCACTGCCAGGCACTGGGGAGGCCGCCTGTGTAGCTGGGAAGGACTGCCCTGAGGCGGTTTGGGAAGCAGCAGGTGTGTGTGTGTATGTGCATGAGCTTGCATCCAGACAAAATTGGGTAGATGTCTCATTAGCTTTCTCCCCCTCAACCGAGTTCCAGCAGCTCCTACGGTTGCTGGGGAGGAGGCCCGTGAGGTGTGAGTTCCCCAAAGCAGAGCCTGGGGCCAGCTGCAGGTGCAGATGGGTCACTCCCAGGAGGCACTGGCAGGGAGTGGGCCATGGGAGGGGAGGGAGATGCTCAGAGTGTGGGCAGCCCAGCCCAGCCCCACTGTGTCCTTTGGGTGGTGGTGCAGAGCACACCTCTGTGCTGTCCCATCTGAGGGGTGAGGCAACGGGCTGTTTGTCCACAACTCAGGGCCGCCTCGCCTGTGTGGGGGCCTGGCACATTCCCACAGCCAGAGTGCCCTCAGAGCTGCAGACGGGGCCCCCGGTGTGGAGGTGGGGTAGGGTATAGGCGTGGGGCACTGACAGCATCTGCTCTAAGCCCCAGCCTGACACCAGGGCCTCAGCCAGCCTGGGCACCTGCTCCTGGGGGCTTTGCACACTGGAGCCAGCCCCCTGCTGAACTTCACCTGTCAGCTTAGGGATCAGACGTGGAACTTGAGGTGCTGGCAGGCGGTCAGCATCGTCACAACCAGCTTTAAGGGCACGTGTTGATGGCACAGTGGCTGCTTAGACCACAGTGAGGCTGCATAAGCATGGCCACAGGCCGGCAAGGATCAGGGGGTCTGATGGCCAGTGGGACCCCAGTGCTCAGACCTCAACCCACCTGCTCTCAGCTCTGCAGTGCACTGGGCACTGTAGGAAAGGCAGAGTCTCTGGTACGCTGCTGGGGGTATGCAAACGGCACAGCCAGTCTGGGGAGTCACTGGGAAGTTCCTTTGAAAACTAAAATTAGATTTACCGGAAGCCCCAGCAATCATATATTCCAGAGAAACTAAATTTATTTTTATTCAGAAACTTGTACATGAATACTCATAGCAGCTTTATTTGTAATAGCCTCAAACTGGGAACAATGCAAATGTCCTTCAATAGACAATAAGAGTGGTACATCCCTGCCATGGAATACAACTCAGCACTAAAAAAGGAACCCATTGATACACACAACAACTGGGGCGATTCCATCTATGTGACATTTGGGAAATCACACAATGGAGATGAGCACAGATTAGGGGTTGCCAGGGTTGGGGGCGGAGGGCAGTGTGGCATGAGAGCCTGGTGGAGGCTGTTCAGCTGAGGATCATCCAGATTGGTGGGAACATGAAGCTGTACATGTGACAAAAGCGCATAGAACTAACACACACACACACACACTCACACACTAGAGCATGTATGGGACAGTGTGGTGAGGCCAGGGCACTGGGTGATAGGCCAGCGTGACCCAGCCCTCACTCAGCCCTGTGAGGCCCCCAGGGTCCCCTCTGAGGTCAAGGTCACTGTGGTCCCAAGGGGAAGCCACATGCTTATCCTGGTCCAGGTCCCAACCTCCCCGGTTTTGATGGGCCTCCTCTTGTCTTCCAGCCATGACTGAAGGGCGAGCCAGAGTTTAGCCCCTCCTGTGATGGACTCAAAGGCCCCCAAGAAGTACTACCAGTATAAGAGCAGGAACAAATCCCAGGAGAAATTTGCCAGGAAGTTTCCGTACAGGTACAGCACCCCCAGACCCCTAGGGCCAAGTCCTGGCTCCCTCAGGTCACCTCCCTCGAGCATGTCCGGGGTACATGGGCTGGAGCTGGGGGAAGGTTTCTCATCACTGGGAATTCTCTGAGCAGCTCTGTATCAGTCTGGGTCCCCCTTCCTCACCCTCCATCCCGACCTGAGCTGAGGGCCTCTAGATAGGTGCCCTGGACCCCAGCCTCTTCCCTCTGCACAGGTGACTCTCTCATGGGACCCACCTGAGGAGCGCACCTGTAAGCACCTGCCCCAGGAAGGTGTGGTGGGATCGCCTTGCAGCGGGGGTGGGGTGGGGATAGTTTATAAAGCCCCAGGGCACTCTGGAACCAGCAGAGACCACAGGCCAGGCAGCTCAGGGCCCTGAGGCAGCAGCAGCCAGTCACTGAAGGTGTTACACAGGAAGGCTGGGTCCTGGGTCCCACCAGCAGCAGGGCTGATGGTCCTGGAAAAAGTGCAGTAAATTGGAAGGTTCTGGGTGGTTCTCGCTTCCTGAAAATCAGCTCAGAGTTGGGGTGGGGATGGGGAGAGAGCCATCACCACACTGCTGGCCAAATAAACACTGGTCATCTGAGAAATGTGACTCCATTAAGCCAAGGTGCCCATCCACCCAAACAGCCAGAGGGTGGAGGGACAAGCAGGACGCGAGTGACAAAAGGCTGGCTTCCAGAGGAATTCCTGCAGGTCTCTGGGGCACTGCGCAGAGCCTTGGAGGGAGCTACATGCAACAAGACATCCATGTGGCCAAACAGGGCCCCATCTGGGAAGGCATCTGAGACCACATGTGCAGGGTGGGCAGGAAGGGGGTGTCTGGCGATGCCAGGGTGCACAGTCACCAGGTCCCGAGGTGTCTCGGGGAGCAGCACCCACCTCTTCTGGACCTCAGTTTGGTGACCTGCAACCTTGCCGTGGCCCTCCTGGTGGTCGCACCATGCTGCTCCATCGGGTGAACTGGGACACTAGGCTGTGCAGCTCATAGGGGCCATGCAATGGTCGTGTGTGAAGAGCAACCAAGCTAGGGTGGAAGGGGAGGCCGTGGTCACCCCCAGGGAAGTGCTTTGTGGTCCCTGAGGGCCAGTGTGGCCCCAGCCTGCCACCCACGGGGCGAGGTATCTGCTCTCTGGAGCCTGGGGCCATCTCTGAACCCTGAGTGGCTGCTCAGACGAGGCCCGCAGAAGGCCGGCCTGGCCTGCTGCACTCTGGCCCTCTTCTCCCAGACCCGCAGTTGCCTCCACCACCCGCAAGCAGCCTCTGGCAGCTCCCTCTCACCTGGACGTGCTCCTCTCGCACCTTCACCCAGGAGGGAGGCCGGCCAAAGGAGGGCTCCTGGCCGCCCTGAGCTGAGCCTTCCAGAGAGGACAGGCCCCACTGCACACCTGGACTGGGCAGGGGAACCGAACAGCTGTCCTCAGGAGACCTGAGTGACGGTCTCACACCCCTGCTCTATCACCATGCCGCAGATGCTGTCCCGTGAGGCAGATGCACATGGCACAGGGTGTCTGGCCCTTAGCTTAAAATGGGAGGAACCTAAAACTTGGGGGCTAAAATGGAAGAAGCCAAGTGCCAGGTCACTTGGCTACACTGGCTGAATGTGGCTCTGGAGCCGACTGCCAGCCACATCCCAGCTCTCACTTCCTGGCTGTGTGACCTCAGGCAAGTCATTTAACCTCTCTGTGCCTCAGTGTCCTTATCTATAAAGTGTGGGTAACCATACCTACCTCAGTGTGGTTGTGACTTGACACATGGGTTATGTTGGTAAAGCAGAGCAGTGCCTGCAAATAGAACTTCCATATGAGAGCAGCTCCCTCCTGTGGCCAGTGGCCACAGTCCTCCTAAAGATGCCAAGTGCCCTTTGCAGGTTCTCTTGGCTGATGGAGCACGACCCAGAGTCCCTGCAGCCCTGGACAGGCACAAAGACAGACAGCTTGCTGCAGAAGCAGCTGCCCCTGCAGAAGATGTTGGTGCCAGCGAGATCCATCCCCGTCAGAGGGTGAGTCGCAGGCCAGGATGCAGACCCCCACCACACCTGCTGACCGCATGCCCATTGTCTGGCCTTCCACCCCATGTCTGCACACAAATACTCATCCTCCCAGCATTCTCCATGCTGAGGAAACTGAGCCCAGGAAAGGAGACACCAACGTCCAGTGGTCCCTCCCCCAGCAAGGCAGCCAGGTGAGGCTGCACAGGCCCCTCAGGTTGGGAAACTCAGCTGCCATCCCTCCACACAGCAGAGGCAAAGCCAGCCGGTTTCTGGATGCTGTGCAGCCTGCTCAGAGGGTGGGGGCACTGGTAGGCCCCACACAGGGCGGCATATGGCCAAACACCCAGACACTCTTGGGAAGACGCCACCGCACAGACACAACACATACTTGCCCTACACCAGGACTCAGGTCTAGATCGGGCTCACTTGGCTGGCACACTCCAGCTGTTACATGCTGAGGGGCCCCCACCCGCCTCCTCCTAAAGACCCCGGTGCTGCTCCGACTGCCTCAGCCCCTCCTGCAGCTCCTCCAGCAAATTGAGAGTTGACTCCAGGCAAGGAGGGCCCCGGGGCCAAGAGCAGTGTCGGTTCTGATGGGCAGTGCCCTTGGCCCCACACTCTGCATGTCCCCTCTGGCAGGTCACAGAGATGAACACACAGCACCCCAAACAGACCCCAAGAGGTGGACATGCACATGCACATTTGCACATGTGCACGCGAGAACACAGGAGCGTGGCTGCCCGCCCGTCCCTGCTCACACCGGCTCCAGCCTTTGCCCTGGGTCTCAGCACCCCGCCCTCACTCAGCTGCAGGCTTGGGCTCTGAGTCTCGGAGCTGAGTGCTGAGGCTGGAGTCTGAGGGCATAGGTGTCCCTGGGGCTCAGCTTCTGCTTCTGCAGAACAGGACCAATTTCAGGCCAGTGGTCCTGTAGGTCGTACACCTACTGAGGCCGAGGATGGCACTCGGCACCTGGGGGGACCACTCTGGCTGTGCACGGGGAGCCAGGTTCTTTGTGCTGGAGTGAGCAGGGGACTGCGGCCTGCCCCAAGGGACCACCGTCCACATGCCCGAGTCTCGGGGAGGCCCACTGAGGGGCCCCTACATCGGGAGGGTAGGCAGGGTCCAGAGCAGCTCTCCAGGACGGTGAACTGGGGCCGAACAGGAGGACGAGCTCACACTGTCAGGGAGCCGCAGGAGGTGGGGGGCTCCGCGGACCCACCAGGGCCCAGCACGTCCTTGCAGGAGGAGCGTGCAGGGGGTGGCCATGCAGCCTCTGTGGAAGGCAGAAGCAATGGGGTACAGGTGGGAGAGATCCCACCACGTCCTATCCCCTAAACTCCTGCCAGTCCCTCTGCTGGGAACTGAGCAGAGTCCAAGGGTCAGAGCCTGGAGGCCAAGGTCAGCAGAGGCTGGAGAAACCTGGAGATCGGTTGGGATGGAGGCAGGGAGGGTGGACTCTCAGGGGGAGGGGGCCGCACCAAGCTGGCCCACCCACTGGAGGTTTTACACCTACTGGGAGCTCTAGGATTACACCTGCCTAGTGCTGGGCAGGCCTAGGGGACCAGGGCCCTGGCCGGGAATGGGGCAGCGCATTGGGAGTCCACTGGGTTGCTGGCTTGCATGTCTCTGAGGACGGTCGGTGGGAGGGTGGCAGAGGCTGGATGTGGGGGACCCAGACTGGCAAGTCTGGGCTGGGGGCAGTTTTGGTGGGGGCCCTCCCTGGCCTCTGGACCAGTGCAATTCTATGTTGCTTTTCTAGGTTTGGGGCCCCAGACTTATCATCACTGTCCTGCTTCCATCCACCGCCGCCATCACCCCCGAAAAGCCTCTGGGAGCTCAGGCTCTTGAGACACCGCTTCCCCTGAGCTGGGCGCCAGCGCAGCCCAGCCCTCCAGGGGCCGCCCCTCGCCCCTGTCCGTGCAGCCACCCTCTCAGCCACCCAGACCCTGGGCAGTGGCTGCAGAGGACTCCCTTCTGGGCAGAGGGGGACTTCAGAGGTAGGAACAGCCCTGAAGGGGCTCCCATCTCCTCAGAGACCACGCCGTGCAAATAAACCTGGCAGGTTCAAATCCCACCTCTCCCTGGACTGATTACTGTGCCTTTCTGAGCCCCCATCTTCTCATCTATCAGATGGGGTCATGTTTAGTCTTGCAGGGTTGGTGTGATCATTAAGAAAAGTGTGAATGTCATTTCCAAGAATTCATCCCAAAGATATACTCACCCGGGTAAGTAGAGATACTTGGACAACAATATTCATTATGGTGCCATAGGAAATGGCAAAAGATTGGCAACCACCTAAATATCCATCAATAGAGGCCTGTTAAATTTTACCATAGCTGCACCCTGAAATTCGAGGCAGCCATTAAAATGAAGAAGCAGCCCTTTATTTACTGATCTGGAACAACTTACAAACTACATGAAGATTTTTTTTTTAAAGCACAGCACAAGAATGTATCTTATATGCTACCATCTTACGGATTTCAGAAAACTGGGTGTGTTGGTGTGGATGTCCCTATACATGGATGTCTGCGTGTGTGTGTGTGTGTGTGTGTGTGTGTGTGTGTAGCAGGTAACAATCATTGCCTTTGGATAGAAGTGGAGAGCTTGGGGGCCAGGCCTGAGAAGGTGGCATACCATTTTCTGAGGTTTTAATACGTAAACTAGATACCATATTGTTGGTGTGTCACAGATTCTGTTAAGAAAAGTAGTATGGAATGAAACAGGTATAGTCTTAGCCTGCCCAGGAACCAGAGACTGGCATGATCTCTTTGGACTGGTATGTAGGATGAGGCCTACTGAGATGTCAGGGTCCTCCTACCCTCTGTCCCATAAACCAAGGGACTAGAAGTCCCCTGGAATCCTGGGGAGGACAAATAAAATCAGGACACAAACTGTAGCCCTGTCCTAGGACAGAAGGCTGAGGGGGACCCTGGAGATGACTAGGGTGGCCACACTTAGCAAGGTGGGCGAGGGGCCCTATTGTTCTGAAAGGTGGAACGAGGCCCCTTGTGGAAGGATGCTGTCCTCAGGCCCCAGGGAAGGATGGGGGAGTGGTTTGCGTCTGCAGGAAGCAGAAGTTAGTTTTGCTGTGCACTCCTGGGGGTCTGGGGCCTGGGGAAAGGGTGCAGAGGGCCGGCACAGGGTGGGCAACCCGTAAAGAGCCCCTGGCTTCCCTCTCTCCAGGCTGGGGAGACAGCACAGTGTCTGGTACTAGAGCCCAGCCCCTGCAGCAGCCCCTCAGGCCTGCAGGAAGCAGAGGCCCCAGGGGCCCCTCCTCTTGGGGTTGAATCCAGGCTGATCTCCATTTGAACTGCAGAAGCCTTATGGAGCTTTCATCCAGTGTTTAAAGCTGCCCTATTTCATAGATGCAAATTACAGGGACGTGTGCCTGATGAAGCACAGCGATGAACGGGTCCATCTTTACACCTGCCACGAGCTTTGCTCCCCCTGCCCCTGCCTCTCCTCCTCTCCCCTCCTCCGAGGTGACCACCTCTTTCTTCTCCCCTTTTAAACAGAGTTTCTCAAAACAATGTGCAGTTTTCTTTTTTTTTTTTTAATGATATAGAATTCTATTAGGTATGTACAACTTTTTTCTTCTCAACAAGTTGCTAAGAGTCACATGAATGCATAAAATCATTTAATCACTTAGTTTTTGCTGTGTGATACTCCAGATCTGCCCATTCTCATCCCAGTAGGGGTGTGGTTGTTCCCACCTCTTGCTGCTGTGGGTGCTGCTGCTCGGAGCATTCCTGCTGTGTCCCCAGGCATGTGTCCCCACGAGTAGTCACCGGCCGGGGGGCTCCTAAAGGCCGCCTTCACCAGCACACTGGGTTCCCACGTGGTGCTGCCCACACCACGAGCAGCTGAGAGGAAGGAGCTCCTTCAGAACCACCGTGTGCTGTTCATGCTGTGGCCCCCGAGTGTTCAGGAAGTGAGTAGGAGGGTGCACAGGGCTCTTCCAGCATGTGGGTGGTTCTGTTGGTAGGAAAAACGTTTATCAGTCACCCGAATCCAGAGTCATAAAATGTGTGTGGTTCCTCCCCTGTGATTTTATCCTAAAGAAAGAATGTTGAGGGAGTCAGGCACTCTCTGTTGGTCCTACTTTGTGTGCTGTTTATATGTATATGTTGTCCTAAGAAAACAAACCCTTTAGGAAGCATGCAGTGCAAAAGTACTCATGGAGAAACGGGCAACAACCTCAATGGTGGCCAGGGATGGTTTAGCAGTGTTTTCTCTGCAAAATTACTCTGTGAATGTTGGAAGTGATCACCGTGGCCTATACAGCAACGTGAGGCGTTCCCAGCACGGCCATGCATATCCGCGGCTGTCCTGCCATGAGCACTGTTACAGGAACACACGAATCAGCCCAGTGAGGTGAGGCCTACTGAGGAGCAGCCCAGTGACAGTGCGGTCAGGGGTGTGGCTCTGCCTTCTAGAAGTTTGTCGCCTGTGCGGGACAAGGTGTGTGCACAGACATCATAACACAGAAGGACACAAATCAAGTTAAGTGTGTTGATTCCCTGCCTAGGTTGGGTCCCCTGCCCCCTGCCCCATCAAGCAGACCTGGAAATAAGGATGTGGATGCAAGGAGTTTAATGGGGAGGGGATTCAGGGAAGCCCCACTGAGAGGTCGAAGGGGGAAGCAAAGCACAGGGTGTGCCACTGAGCTGGTTGCCACTGCTGGGGCGGGGCTNTGGGGGATGGCGGGGGAGGCTGTTGTGCCCAGCCTCCCTGTGGCTGGACATGCAGTAAGGCTGCGCTCAGGTCAGTGGGATCTGACTGGAAATGGATATACAATCCAGTTTGTCTTCAAAGGAAACCTGGTTGACATTGTGATGCTTGCAAAATGAATGGCTCACTCTCATGGACCCAGAGGAGGACTATGTCCTCAGGACGGGGGAGCAATAGAAGAGAAGGAGCCCATGCCCCTAGTGGCTCTGGGGGGCAGCTGCCCCACCAGTGCTACCTGCCTTCCTCTGGACAAGACAAGCTGCCCGGTTCAAGTCAGAGCTGTTGTCTCTGTCTCAGGCAGCCGCACCTTCCCCCTAGTAAGAGAGCTCAAGCACGGTGGGAAAGGCAGCACCTTCAGACCTGGGCCCAATCCGAGCAGCTCTGGGCCTTGCCTTTCGCCCAGGGCCATGCGGCCAGGCCGCTTCAGCCAGCAGCTCGATCAACCGCAATTCTGACTGAATGATGCATGCAGTACTGTTGTTGCACAGAACCAGAGATGCATTTTAGCAAAATTCTGAGTCATGGTGATATGCCTCCCTGGAAGCTGCCCAGTGACAAAGCCACAAAATAAAACTGAAAAACAAGACAAACAGAAACAAACCAACACTGTAACTGCAGACATCTGGGAAACACTTTCTGGGCAAAGAGAGGAGAAAGCCGAAGAACACAGAAAATGATTTTAAACAAGTCCTTGTAACCCAGTCCACCAGCACTAAACCAGTTCTGAGAATGAAAACTGGGAATTGAAGACAATTGTGGGGGAATTAAAACGCCAGCTGATCTTCAGTTTGGGCTCTGCATCCCTTTAGGAACTGCTGTTGGATTAAGAGAAAATCGCCAAAGGGAGTGCCTGATTAAGAGCCCCCCTGAGCACCCTCATGTCGTGTCCAGCTCTTTACATGAGACCCTATCCTTCTCTGGTCACGTGATGACCCAGCTGGGACTCCCCCTATCAGGGGCAGGCAGTCCGCCTGTGATTCAAGCAGAGACACATTCTGGTGCCAGCTGGAGAGGAAACAGGTCAGAGGGCAGCCAGGGCAGGGAATCCCTCAGGGAGGGGCCGGGACTGGGTATGGGCCCCGCACTCACACAGAGGTGGGGCTGTGGTGCCATCAGGTGCGCACAGTCAGCAGGGTGCAGTGGGGGGGCAGGAGTAGGGGCAGGGCAGGCAGCGTAGTGCCTGCCTGCAGGAGGGAGGGTGAGTGCCTGCGACAAATGTCCGGCACTTAGGGGATGACAGTGTGACAGCAGAGCAAAAGGCTGACTTCCAATGGTGATGCACCTGGGGCTGGCATTGGGATGTCAACTTCCAGCAAGTGGGTCACATCAGAGGCTGAACTGAGCTTGGACAATGGTGAGTGTAATTGAAGTGGGTGTGTGATACAGAGCACAAAGTGGCACATACACCATGTGTGTGCAGCCGTGAGGGAGTCTGTAGGCAAGGGGCATGTAGCAGGTACACAGGCCCAGCCCCTCCATCCTCATGCTACTAGTGGTCCAGGCCCGGGGCTGTCTGCATCACTCCAGTGGCTTCCCTGGGAGACCAGCCACAGCAGCTGCCCCCTCCCAGGCCCACAGAGGTTGGTCACCACCAACTCATGCCAGCAGCGTGGCAGACACAGCCCTGGGGATGCCCAGAGAGGGGTCCTGAAGGCCCGGGCAGGCCCTGGGAAGGGAGAGCAGCAACTGCAGGGGGAACAGCATCAGCAGAGGCCAGGGTGTCAGGGACTGAGCTGCCCGGCCCCCACAGGCCGACACAGCTCCGCGACGGGGCTCTCCGGCCCTCACCGCAGCAGGGGGGGCTCCACAGCTGGACTTTGGCCTCATCCCTGCCAAGCTGCCCTTCCTCGGTTGTGTTCTTTCTTTTTTCCAACCTCAAGCATACCCTACTCTGTTCTTCCCAAAGTTCTGGCATTTTTATTTACCATCCAGGGAAAGTGATATTTGGCCGGTCACCAAGGGACTCCCATCTCACTGTCCCCCCAGGGCTGGAGGGTGGCTCCTCACTGCCAAGTGTCCCAACACACACCACAAATACAAGTGCACACACGGGGCTGAGGCAGCCCAAGGCACAGGGCTTCTGAGCTGGGTGGGACTTTAATCTTTGGTCCAGAGAGAGTGAAAGGTTAGGTTTCCTCCCCAGGTTGC